AGACAAATTAGTACTATTATTACTATTATTATTATTATTATTATTACTATTACTATTATTATTATTATGTTTAAGGTGCTCACCAACAGGAGGAAAATTCACTCCGTCTCTCTTTCTGCCTGTGCATTCTGCTCCTCTTTGGAGAGTCCCGTGGAAATGATCCATCCTAGGTTGGCAACCCGCACGCAGAGACACCTACACACGCGCGCACGGCACGCACACACGCGCCCGCTGCTCCTCCGTCCCCTGGGCTTCGTAGGCAGCAGAGCTCCCCTAAACGCCCTTTCTTCCCGGCTCGCTTCCATCCTTACCCGTTCCCAAAGCGCCACGGGACTCTGCCTCCGGCTTCTCCCCCTTCCCTCAGCCGCCTGCCGGTCTCCCGCTGTCCTCCCGGGTATCAGTCCTTATCTCCTGGTTATCTCTTCTGCTGCTAAATTCAGCCCGGTGGAAGGGGTTCAGCCTGGGGAATCTGCTAGTCAAATCTAAATCAGTTCCAAGAGTTATTTCTCTGGCCGTAATTCCCCCTGTCCAGGCCCACCCGAGCGTGAGACCCAAGGATCTGCGCCCAAAGCAGAGGCTCAGATCATCTAATTCCTCCCTGGGCACTTGGCGCTCTTTGCGAAGGGTATTTCCCTCCCAGCTCCCTCAACAAGCGTTTTCCGGGGTCTCACCTTCACCCGCCGCATGAAGGCAACGCCAGGCCCCTGCCCGCATCCTGCGGCCTGCAAAACGCCTTAAAACCAATCCCTCCACCCCGAGCCAAGGTCTGCATCCGCAAGGGGACCCAAAATCAGAACCCAGCCGGCACAAGGAAAACAACCTCAGACACCCAACATGCCCGCTCCGTCTGGCAGCTCTAGGAAACGCTGCCCTGGCCCTGAGCCCCTGCCGGGCCCACGCTGAGCCCCTTCCTTGCAAACTCAGCGTTTCTAAGTTTATTACTTGTGCCATGACACTAGGGCTACTAAAAACACCCAGGGAAAGTAGTTGAGGGAACGTTTCCGCGGGGCTGGGTGGGCACCGCTTTCCCTCGGCACGGGCCCACTCCTGACACGCTCGTCCCCTCTCGAGCGGGGCAGGGGGGACGGGGGTGGGGCCGGGGGGGGGGGGGCG